CTCAACAGATGGGAAAACCTGACATCTGAGCGTTCAGCCTGGAGGCAGGCGGTGCATCACGGCCTCTCCCAATTTGAAGAGACCCTTGCCCAGCAGGCCGAGGCAAAGAGGAAGTCACAAAAGCAGCAAAACCAGGGAGCCGGACAGGGGACAGACTGGATTTGTCTTCAGTGTGGAAGGGACTGTCACTCTCGAATTGGCCTTCTCAGCCACACTAGGCGCTGTTCCAAGCCCTCCATACAGAGCACGCTACCATAGTCTTTCAAGACTGAAGGATGCCTAACTAACTAGTATTTTTACAAAGGATTTAAATTACATAGATTTTCTGTGATTATTTGCTTATTAGGGAGCTTCACTCTGAAATGAAAGTCTCTGGGTTGGTCAAAGCATTTTATATTGCTTTATTATAATACTTGCAAAAAAAACAAATGCTTTACTAATTTCTCTTTGGTACCATAATATTTATTAGCCCTTTTTACAGTCCCAGCATTGTCAGGAACACAAAATGTTCTTACTGTTGACTTTGGCTCTTTGCCAATGTGGAGATACAGATGGAGAACCTTATGTGTTGCATTCCCCCATGTGCTTTAATTTGCTGTTCAAAAAACTGTTAGCTGTCCCTAGTCCAAGTGAAAAAAAAAACACAATCAAATTATCTCTCCTGCAGAGTTCAAAAATATTTCAAAGTATTTGGCTACAAGATGTTCCAGGAGAATTCAGCCCAGAAAGAAATCCATTTTGTAATGTTAATGACTCCTTATTTTCCCAGTTTAATCCTTGTATCTCATTTACTTTAATATTTTTAATCGGCCTTCATTAAATTTATAGGTTGTATATAAAGACAATTAAATGGTCCTCTGTCGTAAATCCTGGAAGCCTATTGGTGACTAATTGTGGCTAATAGTGAGGTGCTGGAACACATAATTAATCACATGCCTCATCACGTACTTGACCGCACACTATGATGTGCCCTGGTATCTTGTCAGTTAGCTGCAATTACACAGTTACACAGACCTTACAAATACAAATAGAATTGTAGCCAGTGTTACAAAAATATTAAAATACAGTCATAAAACAGTTTAAAATATAGTAAAATACAGGATGGATTTCTCAGTCTGAAGCAGGATGGGTTTATTTATTTAAATCATAACTAAAATGTTTGAAAAATGCTTTTTTATTATTTAAATTTTTTTAAATCAATTTTTAAACATTAAAAAATCATTTATTTTTTATTCACCATAGTCCAGAGTAACTTGTCACAATAGGCTTCGTAAATACAATGAATTCCAAAGGGATTCAATTTATGATAACTGTACAAGAAAGAATTAAAGATAAAAATAGCCACTCAATCCGATTTCAGATCCAGCTGAATATGACGGGGAAAATCATAAATGGGAAACCATATCTTGTATAAGAGCTGGTATAGTGTCTTGGCTGAGATACTGGGTTACCAGATGAAGCTTGGAGCAGATCTTGCCTCAGCCGCACAATTTGTTAGGTGGCCTCAGGCAAGGCACTTTTTCTCAACCTCAGTACACATACTCCCAGTTTGAAATAAGAGAATGATGCTGGCATGCTGAACACTGGTGTTGTGATTAATGTATGTCAGTAAAACATTATGTGCAATGATTATGCTTTGAGGACCCAAAAATACTATTGAAGTTTGGTCAATCAGCATACTCCGGGAGGAGATAAGTATTGCCTTTGGCAAAGTCCTGCAATGGCAAACTGCTGGAATGCTTGGTAAACCATGGAAGTGTCTGTGTAATTGGCATCCTCTAGTGGCAGTATAAAGCTGAGAGTTACATATAACATCAGATGGCAGGAGATGGATCTTTATAGGTCTGTGGAGAGAGGACTGTGGCAAGGATGCATACCCTTGCCATTGCTTTTCAGCTTCTACCCCAAGGACATATTTAGGTAAGTGCTTAGTGATTCAAAGGACAACATCATTTGCAATGGATGGTGGTTATGTACAACACCTGACATGTAATATTATTGGATAACTATTTAGACCATCCGCAAAGGTTACTCAAAAAAAGTCAATGAAATAAGTAATGAAATGTATAAAAATGAATGTTAAGAAAATCAAATGCACGTTAATCAGTAAAAAATCAAGTTGCTGAAGAAATGCAGTTAAAGATGTAAAAGCAGTGTATGGAACAAATCTATATATCCTGCGATTTGGCTGAATCATCTCTATGCAATCGAAGTCTGAACAGAGGTGACTCAGAGCTGCTTTCTTTGGATGAACAATGCAAGATGCCAGAAAAAAGTTATAAATGGCTTTGACAACGTGCAGTGTACGGTGCTATGTATTCTTCCTCCTACTTTATGGTATGGAATTGTGGACTTGAATGCTGTTGGCTATTAAAAAGAAGCATTTGAAATGTGGATTTAGTGCAGGGTTCCATTAATTTTTCCATTTGAGAGTATGACCCCCCCAAAAAAGCATTACAAGCCAAGAAATCATAAAATACATTGGTTGAAATCCTGCTGCATAAGTTATGTCATGTAAGGCTGATCATGTCACCAGCTGCAGTGATCTTTTTCATAAATAAAACATTTGTGGTTTCTCCCTTGGAGGACCTGAGGATCGTGTAGAATCCCTTTAGTCGTTGGGAAGTCCTTGGTGCTGTGGGACAAGGTGGTGCCTAATTCTAAGATAATTACTGGAAAACTCTAGTTTCATTAGCTAAAGACTTTCCCCCAATCCCAGACACCTCAATGGCTTCCTGATGAGGAAGAGGATTTCACAGAAGCCTTGAAACTTTTGAAGCAGAAACTGGAAATGTTCTATTCCTAAGAAATATTGCAGCTGGTGACATCATCAGCCTTGCATGGCATAACTTATGCAACAGACACTAAACACAGACAAGTAGAATGGTAGGTGGAATGCATTGATCACACAAGGAAAAGCAAAGAGTTCAGATTGTTGCAGCTGATCATTCAAGTCAAATAAACGGGAAAAGAAGTGCAGGAGCAAGAGCATGTAGGTGCAACACAGCAATATTTTTATGTGCTGTTGTGTCCAAAGTCAGATTAGCCATGATGGCATCCCTCCTCTGGTGGGGGGGGGGGGGAGAAGACTGGAAAGAATTATCTTCAACGGCACAGATAAATTGAGAGGTGTAGTCAATCTTCCTGAGGAAGGGAAAAAAAAAACAGTGTTGGCTCTTCTGCCTTCTGGAAGGCAACGGAGTTACAGGCCTACTTCTGCAGTCCATTCAGGAGGAGTGATTATTCTTTTCTGAACGTTTGGCTCGCTAGAATTGGGAGCCAGGAATGCCCGTGGCCGTGCCAGCAGGGAGACAGGAAGCACGTGCAGTTCAGTCCCCATTTGTCCTTCCTGGCCTTACCTGAAGGAAAGGCGTATTTTGTCCGTCAGCATCTAAGTCATTCTTGGATGGTTCAGCTGCAGTTCTTGGTCCAAGGAAGGCTACTCCTTTTATAGAGATCCTTATTCTTCAGGATGCTGACCAAACCATGGCACATTCAACTTCTTTTAACCTGCATATTCGTCTCTCCTCATTGGTGAAAGTGGCATTCTTGTGAGCCAGAGATGGCCATTTTGGACACATGACAACAGGGAGCGTGTTTCCTCGGATTACAGAGCCCAGGTGTCTCAGTTTGCTCTTGTCTTCCTTCCGTTGGGAATCTGCATTCTTGGTTCAGAAGTAAAGCCTTCAGTCTCTCATCTGTATGTCAAGAAAAAGTCTGTGAAGTGACCCTTTCTTGCTTGAAAGCCCCTTTTCATATTGTAAGAATTCACTTAACACATGCTACATGTAAACAATCCCTCAGTTTACCTACATTCCTCAATAGGGCTTGTTGCAAAGAAAACACGTTTTGAGGAGCTCTCGCATGGTTGCTTTTCTTTCTGAAATCTCAATATGTGGGACCAGCTCATCTACCTGGAATGATACTTTGCTCCTTCTCTCTCCTTCTCTCCAGATAGATTTCTGATGCCACAGCTAGTTATTTCTGCTGTCCACAGATAATTTTCTTCCTTTGACCCCACATTCAGTAGGAAGAATAGTTAATGCCTGTTACTTAATAGCCCAGAATGGTTAATGAATGGGGGCTAAATAGATAGGAAATGCCTGAGAATCTCTCCCTTATGGTTGAATGTTATCAGAGCTTGGGGAAAATGATTGGTGAATCTGCACTAAGTATGTCGGTGGGGGTGGGTGAGAGAAAACAAATTTTGATGTTTAGAACAGAGAAGCAAAGAAAGGAAGAGAGATAAGTAGAATGAAGGCTCTTGTGACATATCAGGCTTCTGGAAGATCTGATTCAGAATAAGCAGATCTGCTGCCTTCAAAAGAATGCCTCTGGGCATCCAGGTTGGTCTTAGTTCTATAACAAATCCTACAAAGACACAAAATAGGGCGCAAAAGGTCTTCCTGCCAGGGAAACCCAAACATTCCTCCTGGAACTCCTCATGATTCACTAAAGTAGGGGCCATGCAACAATAAGACTGAAAAGTACATATATTATTCTTTGTTTATGCAAGCATTAGATGTACTGTAGTAGTAGGGCCATAGCCACGAGGAGAGATAGGCGGAAGTTCTCGGGGCAGGAAAATGACCGCCTGGCCCTATGAGCTGTGGGGCAATATTGTTTATAGATCATGTTTTAAAGTTGTTCTCTTGCAAGAATAAGAACTTGAAGACTTTGCAGCGAAAAAGATTTCCAGAAGTCTGAACTATGCTCTGAGTTCCTGCTTGCAGCTGCACCGTGTGTGTACTGCAAGCTAGCCCTGTAAAACTATGAGGTGTTGCCAAGAACATACCCTGCTGTTTTTGGAACTTAAATTGTTGTTATTTAAGATATGCCATTTCTTGGTTGCAGCGTTTGCATGGCTCAGCTTTCATGCTCATCATAACACTGAAGGATGCTCATTTTAAATTCTACAGATATTTGACAACGAAGCCAAAGATCTCGACAGAGAAGTCTGCTTTATTGATATCGCCTGTGATGAAATTCCTGAGCGCTATTACAAAGAATCAGAGGTGAGTAAAGGAGTTTCTGCATTGTGCAAGAAACCTGTTAAGATAACTGGGTTCTTTTGGGATGAATAGTCTTACCCCAAGATAGTTTGGTCATCTGGTTTTCATTGTATCAAGTAGTGGTAAGAAGAATTTTCACACACAAATACTGTACATATGTCAAATACAGGGTAGAATGCTCTATAGAATTTAATTCTTAGTGAACAGACATGAGAACTACCATGTTTCCCCAAAAATAAGACAGGGTCCTATATGTATTAATTTTTGCTCCAAAAAACACATTAGGGCTTATTTTCAGGGGATGTTTTATTTTACAGTCATGTCATCTTCTTCTGGTTGCACAATGCTGCACAATGGTGGAGGGCGGGGATTCACTTAACTAGGGATTATTTTTGAGGTAGGGCTTATATTACGAGCATTCTGAAAAATCATACTAGGGCGTATTTTCAGGTTAGGTCTTATTTTCGGAGAATCAGGGTATGATAGATCAAACCAAAAGACCTGTCTAATCCAGCATCCTGTTCTCACGGTGGCTGCCAGTCAGTTCCCTGTAGGAAACCCAAATGTGGGACAGGATCAAAATAGCACCCGATTGTGTTATTAACAATAATGAGACTAATGGTTGTTGTGGGTTTTTCGGGCTCTTTGGCCGTGTTCTGAAGTTTGTTCTTCCTAACGTTTCGCTAGTCTCTGTGGCTGGCATCTTCAGAGGACAGGAGTAGCAATAATGAGACAGATTTTCCACCTGACTGTCATAACAGCCTTTGAAGTGACATACCGGTCTAATCCATTGGCTGAATTTGTATGAATGGGTATATATTTTTGATTTTACTTCTTTTATCTTTGGTGCAATATATGATTATCTGGATTATTGTTTTCTTTTGGAGTTTTTTGTGACATTTTCTGTATTTTGTTTAATTTTTAATAAAAAATTTAAATAGTTCCTCCTGTTTTTGTTCCACAGCAGCTGATACTCTATTAAGAAATGGCCTTTGGGAGCAAAAACAGGTGTTACATGCAGCTTACAGTTAGAAGAGAAAATTTCTTAGCTGTTGAAAGCATCTGAGTGCAGAACGCTCAGTTCTTCCTTACTTTACCTCATCTGAAAATTTGCTTGCTCTGTTTTGTCATGGTTTTTCAGGACATAAGCATGGGATTAGTTTGATGCCTGATTTTTTTCAAACGTGAAAGATTGTCTCACTCATGATTTCCCAAATACTGTATTAAAAACGTCTTTGTCACAGGCCATCTGTAACATATGTGGCTGCACCCATACCAGAGATAATACGATTATCATATTACAGTATCTCTTATAATAGAGGCGCTATAGTTTCCTTCCTGTTTTTTTGTAAATTCAGTTGTTCTTTATTTCTTTAAAGTAATTCAACTGGTTTGGGGCCTTAGTAAATGTTTTTGCCAATACACATTTTTAGTAAGCAGCATACTTTAATACACATTTATGATGCCCAGTGTGGTGTAGTGGATAGAGTGATGGACTAGGTTTGGATTCTTGCTAAGTTCTGAAAACTCATTGAGGGTCATGGAACTGGTAAAACCACTCCTTAAACATCTCATTTACCTTTAAAACCTTGTCAGGGTCACTATAAATCAATTCATCTTGCCAGCAGATAAGAACAATACACATTTAAACCAAAGAAACCTAGCTTTAGAACTATTTTTAAGTCATAGGAATTCTTAATTCTGTTAGACAAATTAGAACAGAGGTTTTTATATGTGATTATTTCATTTATCTTTCTCAAAGGCTCCATTCTGTACATCTGCACCCTCATCAAGTAATCCCAAAGCTGTTTATGAGGAGCATCTAGAAATCCTTGTTGATTTATGAGAAAGGTTTTTTGTTATCCTTTGGATTATGAAAGAGGTCTGTCACTAAAACCATATTATTGTAGGGGGGGGCAGAATGAAGCCCTATAGGTCACAGGCAGCCCCTTGCCCTGTTTCTGATCTACTTGCACCATCTGGAATACCACTAGCTCCTCTTTTTTGCTTTCAACATGGAAAACTGCCTCTCTTGGGCATTTCTAGGAGCAACGATTCTCCTCTAATGCAAGGTGCATAGCCTCGCTTTACCAGAAAAGCTCTTTTTGTTGTTGTTGCTTTGTTCAATTAAAGTAAGCTTCTGGCCTCTCTCAGTTTAACTGTGCCCAACCTCACCTTGAGGACAGAGGTGCAGCCTGTGATGGATCCTGCAAGGGGACAATTAGAGCCATGGACCTGTTAAAGGTCCCCACCTGAAAAGGTAGAATGTAAGAATCTAAGAAGAGTCCTACTAGGTCATATCAAAGGTACTCTCCAGCATCCTGTTTCTACAGCAGCTAACCAGTTGCCTAGGGAAGACTCATAAACAAGATATGAGGACAGAAATTCACTTCTGCTGGGGTTCCCACTGAATGGTATTCAGAAATGTGCTGTTTCTCCTATAGAAGCATAGAATAATTGAGTTGTAAGGGGCCTAGAAGGCCATCAGGTGGAAAGCTGTGTAAAGGGATCATGATTAGAAACCTGAATGTGTCCTGAATGCTCTACTGTTAAGCTTTTTACTTTGGAAAAAGAGAATTAAAGGTATGCATGGCAGAGATTTATAAAAGTCTTCATGGTATGCACAGGGAGAATGTTTTTTCCCCCTCATAATTCAAAAACAGCAATGAAGCTCCACGGTAGAACATTCAAGACACACTGAAGCTGCAACTTAGAGGGGCTTTAAAATGTGAATTGACAAATTAATTGTGATCAGACGAACAATGATGTCTAGTCATGATCCCTTTACATAGCCTTCCATATGAGAAGCGGTACATTTCTGAATACCATTTGATGGGAACCCAAGTGGAAGCAACCTATTTGCATCATGTCTTGTTTATGCCTTCCATGAGGCATAAATTTTCACATCAGAAGTTTTTAAACAGCTCTTATGTAAATACCATCTGGACCTAGTTATTTCAATTCACTGTTAAGGTCTAGGATTTAATCTCTTGTCACCAATATTTGCCTCAGTTCTTTCACCTTCCTTCCTGAAAATATCAGTTCAAGGATAAATCTCTCTCTCTCTCTCTCTCTGTGTGTGTGTGTGTGTGTGCCTGTCAAAACCCAGAATAGCAGTCTATCTTCTGAACTGTGTTATGCTTTGCTGCATTATCTGTCTAATTCAAAATTCAACTGTACTCTTTGTATAGTTGCTTTCAAATTTTTTGTCCAGTGCCTATTGAACAAGGTGTACCATCAGTATCTTCGTACACTCAGCCATGTGTCTTCTCAATAATATTTTATAATTTTGAACTGGCTTCTGAAACCCAAGGGAGAAAATATTCCATGATCTTGACAGAAATGTTATGAGGCACAACAGAGAGTCAGAGAAGGTGAAGGGTTACGGGGCATAAGCCAAAGGGGACCTGTTGCTTCCATCTCTTGCAGCTGCACTCTGTAAGCTCATAAAGTGTGACAGAAGTGGCATCACTGAAACACTTTAAGAGTGCTCCATTCAACAGGTTTGTGGCAAGGCAGACTCACAGTATTTTGCTGCCTGAGGTAAAGGCCAAGATGTTGCCCCCTCCCCAGGCCATGTACAGAAGCTGACCAGGTTTGCACCTTTATCTTACTTTATCACTTGCAGTGGGATAGCGCCTTCTAGCATAGAAGCACAAGGCTAGTTTAAGGTGCCTTAGAAAGGCTTTATGACATGGATAGCTTTGCCTTGCAACAGAAACAAAGGGACAGTCAGGAAGGTGCTACTGTTGCCCCTCAGCATCCGTTCACCTGAGGAAGTTGCTTAATTCTTTCACCTGAGGAAGTTGCTTAATTCTTTCTAATGATGTTAATTCTTTCTAATGATGGGGCTGGCCCTGCTTTTCAGCTAGACTGCACTGCTTATGGGTCTGTGACACACACTAAAATATTGTGCTTTTAAAAGGAAAACTCCAACTTCTGC